CGGCGAGCAAGGCGGATATCGCGCGGGCCTACCGCCAGCTGGCCCGGCGCTACCACCCCGACCGCTACCGGCCGGAGCCCGGCGACGAGGACCCGGGGCGGACGCTGCAGAGCGCCGAGGAGGCCTTCCTGCTGGTGGCGACCGCCTACGAGACGCTCAAGGTGAGGCCTGGGGGCGTGGGTGGGCGGCGTGGAGGTTGGGGAAATGCCGTCGGGCCCCGCGCCCGCGGGAACGAGTCCCTGAGACCCCGGCGCCGGGCGCGGCCCCCCGAACTCCAGCTTTCCCACACGGCCCTTTGACAAAGGCGCGAACCGCTCTGGCTCCGGGGGCAAGGACCCTGCTTTTTCGTCTAATCGCTGTGCAAAGTTTTGAGTCTTGTAGGATTCAGTCAAAACATTTCAGTTGTCTGCAGTTGGCACTCAGCAGAATGATTATTACCAGGATCTGTCATAGAACACTGAAGTCCGGGGGTATGGAATGACTGTGATCACGCTAATTGGACATGGTAGAGACTTTGGGATTTTGACGTTTAGCCTGGGTTTAAGAATCTTGAAAAAACACTAAGAAGAACAATGGACAACCAATCAGATGGCCGGATGTTTGATTCTTGGCCCTGGCACCCCGGCATGACCTTGGATAGTGACTTAATATGTCGTTGTAGTTGTTTCTTCATGTGCAAAATGAAGGCCTTGAGACCTGTCCGGGTTATTAGAATTAAATGAGTGTGAAAAGCCCCCTAGAGGATGTATCAGTGGACACTTAATGACTTCCGGATCAAGAGCCTGAGAATTTCTAGTAGGAAATATTTTGTGAAGATGTGTACAGTCATCTTCCAGGGGTTTTATAGGGTTTTGTGGGTCTTGGTCTGGCAGACTCAGCCCTATCTTGGATTTCTCCACTATTGCAAAAATCAAATCATACAGAAAATCACAAAGTGTAAATCACAATTGCTAGATGTATTACTGCTTCAAGGCCCATCATGCTAATGCAACTGCAGTTACAGATGTAAGGTATTTCTTTCTAATTTTTTTTCCTGAGGCAAAGTTTTCGATGTTGCTGTATATTGTTTTTAATGGCTACTTTGAATGGGTATGCTATAATTTAACCATAGATTATATAACCACCAGAGCTGAAAATACTGAATCCAGAGTTACAGGTTCTTTATTCATGCTTTCCAGAGCAGTTTGGATAACATGGAGTCATGAAATGAATATGCCTTGTTACTAGCAATGGCGAAATTGTTATTTTTATTGGCAATTAACTGAGGAATGGTGGGGAGACAAGAAGAGCTGGGAGTGTGCTAGTCCTGAGGGCTTCTTTTTCTACAATTTGGGGTAAAGGATGATTCAAAAAAGCCTTCAGAAAAACGAGAAAGAACTTGTGCATCTGGGAAGCCAAATCTGTTTTTGCAGTGAAGAAAAATCACAGTCCTACAGTCAGCCTACAGGTGGTCCTTCAAAGCTCTGGTGACATACATAGAGCACTGGACAAACAGCTTCCAGATCAGGGCAGCAGAAACACTGCAACTGTACCTTCTGCTGTGCTGGAGCATGACAGAGTGAGCATGTCAGTAAAACAAGTACCCAGAAAAATGCACAAAATGATGTAAAAAATAAACTCTTATATTAAAAACAAAAACAAAAAACAAGTACCCAGAAATACAGACAGCAGAGAAATTCTTGCTAGGGAGGTACCCTGGGCTCTAATATTCTTGCCATTTTCTTGAAGAGACAAATTTAGAGAATGATCTGGCAAATCATTGCTTTCTACCCCTAAAATTTATAAACATGGTGGCCCTCCCTGGTGGCGCAGCGGGTTAAAGCACAGCACTGAGAAGCTAAAGCCACTTCCGCATGAGTTCGATTCCCGCTTGCCCTGGAGGTGACCACATGGTGTGGCAGACTGCTGACCGGCCCGCTGCTCCCCTCAGCAGTGTACTTCATCGATCTGCCTGTTCTGCTCCCCCTCTGTCTCTGGTGAAGCCCCTGAGCCTCTGGCCTGTACCCCAGCTCTGTATGCACAAATAACTAAATCTTTAAAAAAAAAATTTATAAACATGGATTTGTCAAATACTTGATAAAATAATTTGTCCACTCAAGAACCAGGGACTTTTGGGCAGTTAAAATCTGGTATGTTGGCAAAAGTAACTTTTACTGTTGATTTCACACTGGTTTGTCATGGCCACAGATGCCTCCAAACAGAAAATTAGAATTGGAATTGCACTGAAAGAGGGAGGAGGGAGAATTTCTGGCTTCCCCAGCCCCACTCATATGACTGCAAAAGATTGGAAATTATCTGAATGTGGAGGGGTACCTGGGGATAGTTTGGGGCCTTGATAATCAGACATAGCTGAGATCTATGAAATCTCTCATTTTAATTTTATAGAACTGGGGCTAGATTCAAGGTGAAACACCTTTAGAAGCTTTTTTTTTTTGCAAATGTCTTCTCCTTTGAATAAGGAAAGGGAGTTTGACTTTATGTGTGCAGAAGTTTTAAAAACTAACAGGGTGGTCTGATTTTATTTGTCATAATGGAAAATTGTGCAGAGGTTGCCAGAGAATATCATTTCTATTGCAAAGATTTAATGAACTGGGGTTACCCAGTTTGGAGGGCCTGAGCCTTCCAAATTATACCCTTGAGACTACAGCTATGGTTTTGCTTGGATTTGCTGGCTAGAATGAGGACTTAAAAGGGATAAGAAGGCCCATGGACTTTGCTAAAAACAGATTAGGTAGAATCGCAGGAGATGATGTTAAGTTTCATTGGCTCTGGAATAAAAAAGGATATGCAGACATCGCCCCAGAATTCCAGCAGCATCTCTGGGAGGCAGCAATGCAGATCCACAGCATCACTTCAGTTCTTCCTGTTTTGCCATTTTTCTCATAAACACACACACACACACAAAACAATAAACACTGTGAGAGTTATATTTATTCAGGAGCTAGCCAGAAAAGTAGTAAGAGTGTTGGGAAGAATATGGCCTTCACAGCTAACATGTGAAGTTAGTTATTGCTGACATGTGGAGGGAAAGTTGACTTTATATTTGCTTTGTAGAAGCACAGGTAGATTCCATCTCTGGAACAGTGTATCTGACTGAATTGTTTTTCTTTAAGTCTAAAAATAAATTCCTTGTAAATTTGTGGGAGTCAGGAACTTATTGTCTCCCCCATAATCTATTTTTGATGACCTTTATCATTTCTGTAGTCACTGGTCTGTTCAAGTCTCAATACTTTAGCATAGGCTCTAAGAAGCAACCTCACTTAACCTCACAGTGGTGTTCCTTCAAAATTTCTAATAAGCAAGGATTGCTGAATGTCAATAATAAATACACCTCCAAAATGGGGACCATGTGATGTAAGCTATAGAGGATTTATGTCTCTCAGATTTTCTTGGTCAAATGAATGACTCTTTAAGAGAGATTTATTGTTTAGATGTGGTTATTAAGAAAAAATAATAATATACTAACAACTTAAATACAGTTTGTTGACAAGGAGTTATTATTACACTTGGTCATTGCTTTTTTAGCAGCGAAAATTCTACCTGTGTGCAGAGAGGCTGAAGGAATCTGGGGGGAAAGGATGGTAATAATAGAAGGCACTGGCCAGACGCTTTTACCAGGTTATGCTCAGTTCATGTTTATTCCAAATTTCTGCAGGACTTCACACCGTTATGATCACACAGTGCTTTGTATTTGCTTCATAATATAAGACAGTGAAAAAATATTTAGTATGTTTGACTACTGAGGATTCAGGAAACTCATGGACTTTGGAAGTAAACAGACTCACACTAGTCAACATTGGTTCTCCTGAGTTGGGATGATCTAGTCCCACCTACGTGTTTTTATATGGATATAGCACTTATCACTCTGCACGGTAAATACCGAGCAGCCTTCTCCCCTTCCCACTTAACCTCATTTTTTGGTATGTACACCCTTGTCAACTAGCACAGTGTCTGGCACATCAGATGAAAATGAATGTCTATTAAGTGAAAACTCCTACCTGAAGATAGGTTCAGATGGAATGGGAATTGAAAGTGGGTTTTTGATGTTTTGACTTGTTATGTGAAGCCTGCTTTGCTATTGGACTCCAAATTAATGGTAGTTTTAAAGAGTTGTGCAGATGAAGTTGATTGGTTGGACACAAATAAAACATTCTTGCATAAGAGAAAAACTGCATTTTTGCTTTCAAAGAAAAAATATGTCTGAGAGCTTTTAAATGAGCATGTTATTCATTTTATATATAGGTAAGAATTGGATGAAATATGAGGGATGGCAAGGAAATAAACAAATGCAAGATTAGGTAGAAAGAATATACTTTGAAAAACCATGATTGATAGGCTTGGAAAATATTAGCGTTTGACAAGCATTTTGCAAGAGAACAACATTAAAAAGGTCGTGGAAATATGAGTGTGAAGGTTATCTGACAAGTTCAAGGTGATAGAGAGGGCTTCTATTCAGCCTTGTTTTGGCAGGGGATTATCACTTCAGTTTTTTTATCAGTTGATTGATGTGACTGGGTGTTAGCACTTAAGAATTTGGCAAAAAAGGGGACCCTGGGCTCTCTGCCCTGTTATGTTCTTCCTTGGTATATTCTCTTACTCAAACCTTCCTCTTACCTGTACCACTGTAGATGCTGGGGGAGGAGACCATAATAATGAAAAAGGCATTGTTCCTACCTTAAAGCTTTTGCTGTGACAAGACACATACTTACTGTTTGGTTATTATTTATTTAAGTTATATAACAAAAATATCTTTAGATTATATACAGCATTGAGAGGACACAGTTATTTCTTCTTGAGGGATTAGGAAAGAATATACTCTTTAATCTGAAACTAGAACAAAACCAACAAATGGTAAAAGGACATTTCTGGAAGAGGGAAAACTTGATCAACAAAAATAGGGAGCTCTGAGTGTGCAAGGCTTGCCCCAGAAATAAGACATAGTCCGGCGAAGTATTTTAGTAGTGAATATTTTCTCCACTTTTTAATTATACTTTTCCCCAGGGATACCTCATTTTGGGGGGAAAACTAATTAATTGTACTTATTAGTGTTACTATTTTTCCTTTCTAGCATCAGTCCAGATTTTGATCAGTTCATGATAAGTAGATATTCATAAAAATAACAAATGATGTAAATTTCTATTACTGCTGTGATGCTGATAAA